TGTCAAACTCGACAGCAACCTCCACAAGCTGGACCCATTTATCGATAAAGAAGGCCTCCTTAGAGTTGGCGGCCGACTCAGAAGTGCGACATCCCCATACGAAATCAAACACCCTGTCATCGTGCCTAAAAAGAGCCACGTGACTACTCTCCTCATACGCCAGTTCCATCATGGGAAGCAGCATCACCAAGGCTACGGCATGACGTACAATGCCATCCGCCAAGCTGGGTACTACATCATCAATGGTCGTTCCGCAGTTTCCCACATCGTTGCCAAGTGTGTAACGTGTCACAGGTTACGGGGCCATGTGCAAGACCAAAAGATGGCAGACCTACCCTCTGAGCGAACCACACCAGCTCCTCCATTCACCTACACTGGAATGGATGTGTTCAGCCCGTTCTACATCAAAGAAAGAAGAAAAGAGTTAAAACGATGGGGACTAATATTTACCTGTCTCTCTTCCCGCGCGATACACTTGGAAACCTTAAACTCCATGACGTCAGACTCGTTCTTGAATGCACTCAGATGCTTTATCAGCCGTAGAGGAAAGGTTCGTGAGCTCAGATCCAATCAGGGAACTAACTTTGTCGGCACAAAGAACGAACTAGTTGCTGTGCTCAAAGAGCTAGACACTACACCCCTGAAGGAATACTTGTCTTCCCAAGACTGCGATTGGATCGACTTTAATCTCAATGCTCCTAAAGCTTCACATATGGGTGGTATATGGGAACGCCAAATACGCACAGCACGCTCGGTCTTATCAGCACTGCTACTAAAGCATAGCACCCAGCTAGACGACGAAGCGCTACGTACATTCATGACTGAAGCCGAGTGTATAGTGAACTGTCGTCCCCTGACAATAGAGAACCTGACAGATCCATTAACACCTGAACCGCTGACCCCAAACCACCTGCTGACACTTAAGACTCAAGTTGTGTTACCTCCACCTGGAAAATTTGAGTCGCCGGACCAGTATTCTCGTAAAAGATGGCGAAGAGTTCAGTACCTCGCTAATCAACTCTGGTTATGCTGGCAAAAAGAATACTGCGCCCTACTCCAAAAGCGTCAGAAGTGGACCACACCCAAGAGATGTATGAGAAAAGGAGATGTCGTACTAGTCTGTGACAATGAATCTCCAAGAAATCAATGGCCTTTAGCTGTGGTGTCTAAGGTATTCCCCAGCGGCGACCAACTTGTCAGAAAAGTACAGATCACGACAGCCAAAGACGGAGAAAGAAGGTTCTTGGAGCGACCAGTACATAAGCTCGTGCTACTTTTAGCAAAAGAGGACAATGAGAACTGATTACGTTTTGTTAGAATCAATATTTTGGTATCCGCATATACCCTATTCATCTTGTCGTTTTGTACAAGTTACTAGGTTTATTGGTAAATGAAGGAACATTTAGGGAAGCAGTGTAACAGCGCGCGTGCGCTTTAATTCCCGCAGTATTTTTATATTCTCCTTTTTTAGTCTCTACGGCATTTTACGTCACAATGACTTCCCGCTAGTATCACGTGACCTTAGCTTATATGACGCAAACACTTATGTAATTTACGAGAAGGCTCACAGAAATTCGACGGGCAACTTCAAAGAACTTTGAGCAGCCTTTAGTTACATTAGGGAACTTCCAGCTATCGCTACTTAATTCAGAACCAGCACAATAAATCCCAGCCTCGTGGAAACTGTGAGTCCTTAGTTCATTTTTAGTTTCACGGATCTCTCCGCCACAGGAGTTGACGCCCCTACACTGATAGAGAATTTTATGCTATGGTTGGTAGCTGGCCGGATGGGCGCCATGATGATCTTGACTTCCTAATCCAGATAAATTCGACAAATGCGAACCAGTTTTAATGTTAAATACCCCTTGCTTAGAATATTATTCAGTCCGCAGTTTTGATAAAATGCTCACTAAAACAGACCCCAAATATTTTTCAATTCTTCACTGCAATATCAGAAGTCTTTCTAAAAACCTAAATTTATGGAATTATTATTATACTCCATTGATGCCAAAGTGGATATTCTTGGAATTACAGAAACCAAATTGGGTGAGAATTCTGTTAGTAATGTAAATATCAACGGCTATAGTTTATTTCACACAGACTCTCCAACAAAGGCAGGTGGAGCCGCTCAGTACCTAGGCCTGATATTAAATTTGATATAACACTAGTTGAATCATGCTGGGCAGAAATTGATGCTGGCAAAGGTATAAAGATGATAATAGGCTGTATCTACAAACATCCTACCTGTGATCTAGAACAGTTTTCCAACCAACTAAATGATATAATGAAATCAATTAATTCCAATAGGCATGAAATTTACATCTTTGGAGATATGAATATAAATTTCCTGAAATTTAATGAACATGTCCAAACTGAAGAATTCTTGGATATGCTCTATGCCAACATCTTACCAATCATTACTAAGCCTACCAGGCTTACTGATCATACAGCAACAACCATTGACTATATATACAAATTGTTTTAAAAATCTTACAGCAGGAATCCTGACAGTTGATTTAACAGATCATCTCCCCATTTCCTGCATAGTTAAAACCCAGCCCACACGGAACAATGATAATAAAATATATTTTCGAGACTATTCTAAATTTAAGAAAGACCTATACTTGGGTGATATAAATCAGATTGCTTGGCATGAAATTCTTAATCCCCAAAATGATTTCAATGAGAAGCTAAGGGAGACAATTCATATCCTGAATGAAATTGTTGACAAGCATGCACCTATCAGCTGGCTAGCCAAAGCAAACAAAAGCAACTTAATAAGCCATGGCTCACTAAGGCTATTTTAAAATCAATAAAAAGGAAACAGAAAATGTACTGTACACATTACTTAAGCAATGACTCCCAAAAAAAAAAGGGAATATAAACATTATGCAGCTATTCTTTCACATCTTAAGAATAAAAGGAAGACAGACTATTATAGCATGCAATTCTTAAAGTACAATGATAATCTTAAACAAACTTGGAAACTTATCGGTACTCTTGTTAAAAGGAAAACTAGAGGTCAAACTTTCCCTACAAAAATTACTCATAATAACAGGACTTATTTACAAGAAAAGAACATTGCTGAGTTATTCAATAATTTCTATGTCAACATTGGGCCAACTTTAGCACAGAAAATTAAACCTGATTATAGACCTTTTGCAATACATAGAATCTACACCATCAAACAGCTTCTACCTTGCTCCAGTAACCCTAGCACAAGTATTTACATTGTTTTCTGGGCTAAAAGAAAATAAGGCATCACTCACTGTTCCTAATAAGCTTATCAAACTTGCAGCTGAACAGCTCTCTGCACCCTTCACTGAGATCTACACTGAGTCAATATCATCAGGGGAGTTTCCTGAAGCCTTTAAGATATCAAAAGTAACCCCAATATTTAAAAGCGGTAGTGTATCTGAGTTAGGTAATTATAGACCAATAGCAGTTATTTCTCCCTTCAGTAAAGTACTGGAATTACTAGTATATGACCAGCTTGTGTCTTATTTAGAAAAAGAATGTCTACCTTGTGACTATCAGTTTGGCTTTTGAAAGGGATATTCTACGAAATATGCAATTCTCGAAACTGTAGAGAACTTGAAGTCAGCAATTGACAGTCACCAAATTACATGTGGTATATTCTTAGACTTTTCTATGGCCTTTGACACACTTAACCATCACATTCTCTTAGGAAAATTATACAAATATGGAATCCGAGGGGTCCCCCATGCATGGTTTTCAAGCTATATAACTAATCGCAAGCAATATGTCAAAGTTGGTAAATAGAATTTAGCCTGAAAACTATTAAATGTGGTGTACCCCAAGGCTCCACACTAGGTCCGTTGCTGTTTCTGTTGTATATTAACGATTTGCCTAGGTCTTCAGAGAAATTAACTTTTAGGATTTTTTCAGATGATACACATATGTTTATTCTCCAAAAGACCCTGAGCAGCTCCAATCAGTTATTGATGAAGAACTTAGAAAGGTCTTAAAATACTGTGCAGCAAATATGCTGTCAATTAACTTCAAGACGACTAATTATATAACTATTACTTCACTTAAAAAGAGAACAAATATCAGAATAACAGCTTGCAATATAGAAAAAAAATCTCAGATAAAATATTTGGGGGTTTATATTGATGAACATTTAAAATGGGATGCTCAGCTCCAGCACATAAACAATAAAATAACAAAAAACATCGGAATTATATTTAAGCTTAGACATTTATCTGCGAGCACACTCAAACAACTGTACTATACTCTCATATATCCATGTCTAACATATGGATTGATGTGCTGGGGAACAGCATACCAAAGCAGGTTAAATAAAATCAAAATAAGTCAAAACAACGGTATCCGCAGCATCTTATTTGAATATTTTTATATTAAAAATTGGCTCTCTCGTTCATAAAATTCAATATCAAAAAAAATATATACCTCCAGTCCTCTATGAGCTAGCCCAACCAGCTTCAGCTGTCCATGATTACTCTACTAGGTATGCCACTAATCAAAACTTGTACAGACCATTCTCTAGAACCAATTATGGTCTAGCAAGATTTAGTGTGGTGGCATCACAGATCTGGCAAACGATTCCTATTAAAATAAAGTGTCTCCCTGCCAAAAGCTTTAAAAAGGAACTTTCTGACAGGACTTTGCATTTCTTTCAAAGTGATGGTGGGTGGGCAGTGTTTTATTTACTAATCAGAAATGTCTCTCTGAAGTTTCAGAGGCCATAACGATAAGGAGAAGGAGAAGGAAGAGAGAAGAGGATATAAACTCTTCCTACTTTGCAGGCAGACATCTTGAACAACTTTAACCCATCATAGAGCTATATTTTACTATTTTAACTATTTAGTATATGTGCTATCTCCTTAAGTGTATTTAACTTTTACCCATCTGTAACTGCTCTGTGGTAGTGGCCAACTTGAAGGCTTGGCTCCTTTGGCTACTACACACTCTTTCCACTGCTTTGTGTAAATTCATGTATAGTTAGAACTCTCTGATTTTTTTTTTCTACTTTTTCTCTTACTCGTTGTTGTATTTTTAGTAGAATAAGTGTGAATAAAAGAATGAATGAATGAATGAATGAATGAAGAACATGATGAAAAATTGTTGTCCTAAATCCTCTGAGTTACATAGCATAAGTAAAATCTACTAAGACTTTTGTGTCAATTTTCTTCGTAAGTGTGATTGCTTTTTCACCGTACACTTTATTAACACAAAAAAAATCAATACTTTAAAATAGAGGTAAAGACTCGAAGCGATATATCTATAGCTATACGTAAGCTCTACTGTAATAATGTGGATTGTAAGTAACTCGTAGGTGCCTTTTGATTGATATTCTGTAACTTTTTATTCTTTTTACTTGTTTTTTTTTTCTCCTGTCTTTTATTCCACTATTCTGTATTGTACTGCATTGTTTTTTTTTCTTCTTAGTTGTATCACGTTTTTTGTATTAGCCAATGCAATGTAAATTGTAAATTGTATATGTGTGTGCATTAAAAAAAAAAAATTAATAGACAGTGCTGGGTTCATTCCAACAGAAAAGTCACAAATAGCTCTGCTGTACGAAGAAAGAGAATGAATGATTATTATTGTAAAGATAGAAGTGATTCCAAAAAATATGCCAGACATCAAACATTAGTCATCCCAGTCACACAGCAATCTACTCCTGTGACTGCATGTAACTGTAACAAAAATGTAAGATACAATGAATCCAAGAAGGGCATTATGTTCTCAGGGGATATACAGCTCAATCTAGTTCCTATGCCAACAAATCTTCTCAGTGAAGAAAATGCATGTTTTTCACCATTACAGATGCTAAAAGCTAAGTTGCTTGATTGTGGTCTCGTCCCAGTTGAAGTGGGCAGTCAAGGAAATTGCTTCTCTCATGTTATTTCTCACCAGTTATTCAATGATCCAAAACATCACTTTTACAAAAGAGCTCCAGGAGTTAATCATTTCAGACAAAACCAGAAAGATTCATTGAAAGTAGTCTTGACCAGTGTTACAGGTTTTGACCCTTTGTTTGTCAGTGGGCCCTGGAACCCATTCAGTCAACTTAGTTTACCAGGCCCTTTCGGTTAGGACATTGTGTGTTGCATTCTTTAGTTTCAGCAGAGTTCACTTTACAACCTCATTATTTGTCAGTTTATCACCAATCGCAGCACCATCCATGTAAGTTTTCATCTTTCTGTTATTTTATTGTTTTCCCTTATCATATTTTCTATCTCCTGTTTCCGTTTCATCGTTTTAATTTGCATGTAGCTTCCCCACTCAACACCAAAGATAAATAAACACATTGAC